ATCTAACTGAAAATCTGCACAACAGCAATTATGAGGACTTACACTATGGGTATTTATTACTAATGTGGTATCAACAAACTGCGTGCTGAACTTTAAAACAAAGTAGCAAGGCACAGCCAAAGATGGAAAGATGGCATGGATAATATCAACCTTTCCATACATCATAATTAAGTGATGGACTTCTCATTTGATTTACTGTCAAGTTTATCACAGAAGACTAAGGAATCGGGTTTCTAAGCTTTCCCAAAAGAAGCAAAAATATTGTAACATGATGAAAAATCCATGTTAACACCTGGCAAGGAGAGATGCCACCGTTGCAGTCTAGATGACTGACATCTTTGAGATAAGCATACAGCAGCAACTACAATTTACAACAAGTAGGTTTGTGGCCATCTGACAATAGGCGAGCGAGTCTCTCGGCTCTTAAGCTGGTTTGATAGACACTTTGTCCCTCCCAAACAGCGCCTTTAGCAACACAGAACGCCAGGCCCCATTGGCTCTCAGAACAAACCCCTGCTCTGCTCCTGTGCTGAACAGGGACTGCTCAGCAGAGCACCCCCCATCTCACATATACCCCAGCCCATCCACACAGACCCCTAAATTCCCCACACATACCTCAGCAAGCCTCCACCGCCCCCATCTCATCAGCCCTGATGCACACCCCAGCCCACAACACTTCAGCCCCACTGTCCACAGCTCCCAACTCCAGCACCCCAAAACACCCCCATTTGCTCTATAGCACCCCCACCCTGCAGTCCCCTAACATTCCCCACTCACCCCATAGTCCCCACAACTCACTCCCAGCCCCTCACCCACCACCCGTGGGACATTGCTAGCCACTCACTGCCCAGCCCCATGGTGGAGTGCTCTGCTCCCAAGCCAGAGCGGCTCCTCCTGACTCTGGCCGACCAGCGGCTCCGCTCACTCCCATCGCCCACCTGTACCCGCACGATGTGGGCCACATTGAAGAGAAAAGCGGTGTCATGACCTGGCACACAGGAGGGCAGCACCACTCAGGTCTGGCCCAGGTAGCTGCTCATCCATCATGATGGAGAGCCACACCTGAGTGGCACTGGGATCCAATAAGCCTGGTAGCAACGCCACTCACTCAAAATTGGACCTCTGTCCCCACCCCCAAATGTCAGACAGGAGCAGCTGGACCAAACCTGAGCAGTGTTGCAACCTCACTCAGATTTGGCTCAGCCACCCTTCCATCCTCATGACGGAGGGACAGATAGGCCAAATTTGAGTGGTGCTGTAACCCCTTGTGCCAGAGCATCATTCCATCCTGGATTTCAGGTGCTAGAGTCACTCTCCAGACCACTCCAACAACACTACACCCTGGATCATATGGACCTCGGGTGGTTTACCCATTCCTCTGCTTGCTGCGTATCTTTGGGCAAATACCCAAATGCAAATGGACAATGCATCTGTCTGAAAGAAGCTGTTGAGTCACTTTAAACAGCAGCAAGTCACAGGCACCGAGAGGACTGTCCTGCATGTACCAACTGCAGCTGGGCCGGTCATGACAACATGGTTGGAAAGAAGGGGGCTGTGACACCAGGATCCAGTCAGAGGTAGAACTGCAGGCACCCCCCACCCCCAGAGAGGGACCAGAACCGGTCACCTGAGGGGCAAACTCAAGAGATTCCAGAGGAGGTCAGATATTGCTCACCCTGTAACCACAACAGGATGGTGGAAACAGGGGTGACCTAGTCTAAAGAGAGGTCACCCCAGGATTTCCATTCTGGCAAATTGCCTGTCACGTGCAAAGAGTGTCCAGGGAGAGGCAAGGGAGAGATCACACAGGCAGCTCATACTTGAGCTGTCACACATACCAATTATAACATTTCTTCTCATCAGTGAGAAATTCCATTTCCTCTTGCATATTATCCAGAATGCTAATACTGTATTGCAGTCCTAGGAATCAAAACATCTTCTCTTCACATTCTTTACCACTGTTGGAAGCAGTGTCCCCAGCCAGACACTGCACTGTGGTCAGTATCTGCCCTGCAATGCTTCCTCTTTGTGGGGGGAGGGAGCGTGTTGCAGAGATGACCCCACCCCAGAACTACACACCCCAGTGACACTGCAATTCCACAACAGCAGTGTGCCACCCCCACACAGCATCAGTACAGAGCACCCCACCAACACTTTTAACTTCTGTGCCAGGGAAGATAATGGAGCAAGTAATTAAGGAAATCATCTGCAAACACTTGGAAGGTGGTAAGGTGATAGGGAA